CATGATTTGGTACGTGAATGCATGTTGATAACTTGATTGCTATTAGACAAGGTCATGTTTATTTCAATCAGATAGAATATATAAGTGGTGTTAAAGGAACACATTCACCAAACTTTTGACTAATTGAACCTTAGTTTCCGAAACAGGAATTTTGTAGTTAAACTAATCAGTAATAGCGTTCATAGCTCACAGTCAATATTTGAGCCTTCAAATCCATGTGTGTCGAGGATTATCCATGTTATAATGACAACACATCTTTACTTGTTACTCCGCCATACATACAAAGGACATATATAGAAATGGAAAGTGAAATTACTAGTTTGAGGTATTTTTGAAGGAATTTTATTTTCGTGATGTTCTAGTAGGTCTAAATACTATTTACATGACCAAAATCAACCCCTGAAAATGGTGCCCATGGCCTATTATGTGGATATTATAGAAATTTCTTTTACCAGATAATACAACAACAGACACAACTAATGCCCTGACATCTTGATAATGCTTAAGACTGAATATGAGAATGTTAATAACACCCTGCAAGCAAAAACATATAATCTTTTAATCTTTTACAAAACAATTGGTTGAATTTAACAGAACCAGATTTCAGATTTCACTTCTTAAAAGTGATATGTACAGCTATGATTTCGTGTTAAATCAACCACCAAACTGCACCAATTTGATAGTTAACAGTAACATAGCAATTGCTCATTCAAAGGTGGTGTTTGTGTGGTTTAGTGGTTTTGACTTAAAGGGATTGTAAAAAGGTTTTCTCAACTTTCTATTTGTATTCGGGACACTGATAGCATCAATTTGCACAATTCCAATTTTCATTCGGGCATCTGTGGTTCTTGCAATTCCACTTAAACTAAGCGTTTACAGCATAAGGTATTAATATTATATAAAGCCCTTTAATATAGTGACGTCATAAAAAGCTTCTTTTTAGTGGAATTGCTAGAACCACAGATGTCTTATTAAAAAAAGGGAAGGTGGAAATCTATGCTGCTATCAGTGTCCCGATACACATAAAAAGTTTAGTAAACCTCTTTAATACCAACTCTGACATAAAGTGCCTTTAATATTTAATTATGAGTTATCTTTATATACTTATATTTATAACTTATATTTCCTACTCATTGAATGGTTATATATTAATAATATTAATTATAAGAAATAACTCAACCTATTAAAGTTATAGGGCTCAATGACTTTTTAGTATCTATATAGAGAATGCTTTATGTAAATTTACTTAATGCTGATTTGATTATGTTAAAGGCAAATTTCAAAGATATTTGTGCGTGATTTTAAAGATGGGTTCCCTTGCTTGAATAGAAGTAGAGGTGTTCTAATGACTTGGAAAATACCAGCATGACTCACATGTCCATAATTAATTCATAATTAGCTAAATTAGAAGAGAATTATCAGCAGAATTCCAATGTGTGACTGATCAAGAAAGATTAAAAAGTCTTTTTTGTTTATCCAGACTGTACATACATGGACATTTATGATTGGTTAAAACTCTTAATCAATTACAATAAGAACACTAGAGCCACTCGTGGCACAGAGTGGGACTTTGCAAATGTAGCAAATTGCAAAAGACCCCGAAAAAATCATCCTTCCATGATAATTAGATCAATCGCAAGAACAGTCTAAAGTTGAGAAATTTTCATTTTTTAGAAGATTCTAATACCGGAAGTAGACGTCAGACCTCACAAATGAAAGTATCAGCAGATAGCCAAGGTCAATGACCTTTGATCTTGTAAAAGAGAAAGTCTAAAAAGGTCAAGATCAAGAGATATACGTCATCAAAATTTCAAATTGCACACGACTATAAAACCGGAAGTTGACATAGGACAGCAAATATGAAAGTACAAATAGATAGCCAATGCCAATGACGTTTGATGTTAGAAAGGTCAAGGTCAACAAAGGTCAAGGTCAAACATTGAAAATTTTTAAATTCCAAAACCTGTTCCTTTTTTTGAACTATGAAGCAAAAACAATTGAAATTCTAAGACAAAGTGGCTCAATATATGAGGTAATTGTATGCAAAGTTCCATTTTGAACAAATGTATACTTTGCGAGTTATGCCCCTGGCCAAAAATGTCAATAATGAGTAATTTAACCCGGATGTGCCACGCCCACTTCAATTTTTTTTGCATAGGTTAATTGATATTCAGAATGTTACGTTATGTTCGAAATTTAAAGCTCCTACATAATATAGATCAAAAGATATAGGTCAACAAACGTCAACAAAGGTCAAAATCGAAAAATGAAAAAATCCAAATGTTAAAACCTGTTCCTTTTTTGGAACTATAAGGCTGAAACAACTGAGCTGTTAACACAAACTGGCCAAAAGGATGAGGTAATTGTGTGCAAAGTCTCTTTTTGAACAAACGCATCCTATGCGAGTTATGCCCCTGCCTCTAAATGTAAACAATTAGTAATTCAACCCGGATGTGCCACGCCCACATAAGTTTTTTTGTTATAGGTGAATTCATATTCAAAGTGTCTAGTTGTATTCCAAATATCAAGGTTCTACATCAAATAGATCATAAGATATACATATACCAAGCTCAAAAAGACGCAAATATTGTAAAAAAAAAACTCAAATTTCAAAAAATCACGAATTTCAATTTTGCTTTAAAATAACGATTGTTATATATCTATGTAAAGTGCATGAAAAGCACATTAGGAAACCGAAAATATTAGGTCACGTGCTAGAGCAGTCAAAAGTTGCGAATTTGGCTTTTTACGGATAGCTATAAAACCGGAAGTACATGTCGGAGGTCAAAGGTCAAAGTATCAAATGATAGCCAAGGTCAATGACCTTTGACCCTATGAAGGTCAAGGTCATCAAAGGTCAAGGTCACATGGTGTGATCGTTTAAAGCTTTAAAAAATTTCAACCGGAAGTTGCAAAAAAGCAAAAGCGAAATTCAAAATTCGGCTCCCAATGTTTTTTGCGCAATCGATTGCAGAATACATTCACATCAAATTTGAGCATATCAACATTTACCCTGAGGCCCCATTTTGAGTTTTACAAAAGTGTGTTTTTTCAATATGGCGGCCAAAGTATCACTTCCGGTCTGGATTTTATTTTAAAATCGGCCATAAAATTTTATTTGCCAAAGATCAGCCAAATTTTGTTGACCTACATAAATTACACCGGAAGTTATTCAACCGGAAGTAGATTTGAAGTTCAGTCGCTTTCCTGTTGAAAATCGGAAATGACGTTCAAAATTTGACTGTATCATATTATTAACATTAGTGAAGTCTCTTTGCATTTAAAATTTCAGGTCAATCGATGCAAAAGCAAAAAAGTTGCAAAAAAATCGAAAAATTTGATCGAAAAAAGTGAGCGACGAATTTTCGAATTTCGTAATTTTTCAAGTGCTATCAGGTCAGAAATTACAGGTAGATTGTAAAAATGAAAACCCGAAGAAAATCGATGCAAAAATGCGCCTTCTAGAGCCGATTTTCGACTTTTTGCACATGTTGAACTGTGGCACTTCCGGTTTTGCAAAAATCTTCCAATTTATATTTATGCACATCGTCGCCTATATAGAAGGTCTATGAAATTTGAAACGTTGCTGCAACTACTGCAGTCTACGCTCAGGAAGGTGTGGACGAAACGAAAAAAAAAAAAAAAAAAAAAAAAGAATGGACATTTCGATAACAAACTGGGACTTTGCTGAAAGCAAAGTCCCACAATAATGATATGAGTAAGAGTTCATGATAATTCATTAGAAACATAATCAAAGAGTTGGCTTAATTTGACACTAAAAAATAAGGAAATGTCATGGAATGCAGCAATTTGATTGGATTGTATTCCAGCGAATACTGTCAATCAGAGCCACTGACAGAAAGATTGAAAGATTATGGCTTATTGTTGACAGATTTTCTGTCGAGGTACTATTCGTACTATTCAATCTAATCACTAACTTCTGTGGTATAAGAATAGTGGATTTTGCAGTCAAGGCATAAGACAAGGTTTAGTAATATCTTGACATTGTGAAAATGACTTCTGACATTAAATGCCAGTACTGGACAGAGTAGAAATTTGAATGGTTAAAACAGACGTCATCGAGTAAGGTCAAAAGGTTAACTGAAGTGGTCATAATAAAAATAAACGCTAATGAAAAAAAAGGAAAGAAATTTTGGGCAAAAATGGATTTAGAATGACAGATTATGAGGTTGGATGGTGCCTATTTATTACTAAAAGAGGATATAACAATACATAACAACTTAATGATACCATTTATAAAAGGAAGTTATTCCCTGAATAGCCATATTGTACTGTAAAATTAATTAAGTTTTCTTCTTAATAGGCTTAAATCTTTGATTAGTTGAGAAACAATTTCCTATAACACTATATATTTTTACCATCAATAGAAATTTCTCGGCTGGAGGAAATTTCCATTTCAGAGATAGTTAAAGAGGCTTTCTACTGTTTTTCCATCTTCACAATGTTAACTTATTATGACCTTTGGCTTATACCTTGACTGCCATAGTCACCTTTCTTGTTATACTGAAGTTTATAAATTTGTAAATTGGATTGTACGCTAGCACATACAGCTAATCAGAGGCCCTAACAAAGAGTCTGTAGATGCTAAGCCATAATGTTGATAGTTTTTCTGTCGAGGGCTCTGATTGATATTTGCTGGTGTACAATCCAATCCAATCAAATCGCTGCATTCCGTCATACAATAAGAAAGAGAAAGTTTTTAGCCAAGTCAATCAGTAATGGTGTTCACTTCTCACTGTCAAAATTTGAGCCTTCAAATCCATGGGAGACTCGGCCATTTATAGAAAAGGCATATAAAAAATGAAATTTCTAGTTTGTGGCTTATTTGCAGAGAGTTTGTGATTTTTGTACATTTCTAGTACGTTTGAAGACTATTTACATAATCAACCCCCCGAAAATGGCCAATTAGTCCCTTTAATTGGCTTTTTTTTTTTATTTTTTCAGTGTCTGAACCAGGAGCTGGTTTTGACTCCAGAGGAATGGGTTTAAGAGCTCAGAAGAAATTACTGGGCAAGATGTCGGGAAAGAAAATCGCCAAAGTGTTCATTGATGATACCACCGGACGAATTCTAGACAATACACACAAAATTATCAAAGAATTCTCAGACACCAAGAAAGAATCAGAAAAGATTTTGAAATATCTGATAAAAACAGTTGTGAAAATTGGAATTTTGTACAAAAATGATCAGTTTAATGGTGATGAACTCAAAATGGTGGAAAATTTCAAGCAGAAATTTCATTCTTTAGCTATGACTGTCGTTAGTTTTCATGAGGTGGATTTCACGTACGATCGAAACTACCTTCGAAAATCTCTCGAAGAATGCAAAGCAATATTACAGACTTTAGTTGCAAGACATTTAACCGACAAATCTAAGGGCAGAATCGACCTTGTGTTTGATTTTTTCGCGCAGGCCGATCTTTTAGATGCTGTTTTCCAGTCTGATAATAAGTATAAGGACACCATGGATTTGATTGTTAAGGATTTAAATAAAATGATGGATGAAGGAAATTTATAACCTTTTCAAAGTGATTAGACAAATAGGCCACAGTTTTGAATTCTGAAAGCATGTTGCTCTGACACAGAATTACCCTAGCTTCCAAAATCAAAGTCCCTTCTTTTGTTACCTAATGTTAATGAAATTATATGTTTATATCTTGTTACCCTACACGACTGAAAACGTGCAAATACAAAGCCAAAACGAGGGCAACAGGCATATTGCGTGCAAGATAGGGAGATCCCATATTATTGAAAATTATAATGTTATCCTATGTGATTAAATTTGGTGACCTTATTAATTGGAATATATATGGGGTAACCTCGTGTGAATGCATTCTATATTTAGAGTCACTTCAAAAATATAAAGTGAAGTAGTAACTCATACATTCAGAGTCACTTCAAAAGTATAAAGTGAAATGGTAACTCATGCATTCAGAGTCACTTGAAAAATATAGACTGAAGTGGTAACAACTCATGTATTTAGAGTAACTTCAAACATATAAAGTAAAGGGGTAACCTACGTATTCACTTGAAAAATATAAAAAATATAAAATGAAGTGGTAACTCATTCATTCAGAGTCACTTCAAAAAGATAAAGTGAAGTGGTAACTCATGCATTCAGAGTCACTTCAAAAATATAAAGTGAAGTGGTACACATGCATTCTGAGTCACTTCGAACTTATAAAGTGAAGTGGTACACATGCATTCAGAGTCACTTTGAACATATAAAGTGAAGTGGTAACTCATGAATTTAGAGTCACTTTAAAATAATAAAGAGGTCCCCTCGTGCATTAGAGTAATTAATGGAGTCACTGGTGCTATTTCATTCAATTGAAAATATGAGGAAGCATTATGTAATTTGTAAATGTATTGGGTCTCCAAGGCAACCAATTAACTAAAATAAGCATGAAGTACATTTAAAAATAATTTTTACTATTTGATAGTTATCATACTTAAAAAATTTGTGTAATGGGGACGCTGATAGCATCAATTTGCACCAATTCTCAATCAGTTGTCACAATCAAACACTTAGTTTCAGTGGAATTGCAGGAACCATGGGTGTCTGACTGAAAATTGGAATGGTGCAAATCGATGCTATCAGTGTCCCAGATACACATAAAGAATTAAGAAAACCTCTTTACAGTCTCTTTAAGGCTATGTGGACCTATTTAGTGCTATAATTAGTTTCATTGTATTAGGCTATGCAGTTCATTGTACATTGTAAATATATATAGCATAATTTTGTGTGCACCTACAATTGTATTATAAGAATCATAATATATTATATTTTTTTTAATTTATAAATATATCAAATGGGCATAATCTTTGTGTGTCTGTGCTTTTCCCTTGGCAATCGTTTTATTAAATATTTGCAAGTTTTGTGGTTTATGTATGGAGTAACATTTACTGCTCTGTAAGTGGGCATTAGCTGTTATGAAAGGGTGAGCTTACCCTCCTGCATAGCATTCATAACATTCATAGTTATAAACTCTCCATTAAGTTTGGTGGCTATTACAAAAACTCAGTGGTTGATGTGCCTCAAAATGGATAAGGTTTTACAACAGACATCAACTTATATAAGGCGATAGTTTACTTTTTGTGATATTGTGCAATAGGCATCACTTACAACATAGAGTGACAGTTTACTGTATATAATATTTTACAACAGACATCACTTACGTCATATAAGGTGACAGTTTTCTGTATATAATATTATTTCATATCAGACATCACTAACAACAAGTTCACATTTCTATAACAATTTACAATAGACATCACTAACATCAAGTTATAATTAGTACCAGTTTACTGTATACAACAAATTAACATTTCTAGAATAATTTACAATAGACATCACTAAAATCAAGTCAAAAATGGTAACAATTAACTTTATATCACTTTTTACAACAGACATCACTAACATCATCTTATATACAACGATAGTTTACTATATTATATTTTACAACAGACATCACTCACATAAAGCTTTAAAAAAGAACGTTACTGTTTACTTTTAGTAATATTGAACAGAAGTTTATTACATGTATCGTATGACAATAGACATCACCTTTCTTTATGTTTTATCTTACAAATGGAGCCTAGATGGATGCGAGGATTTAGCCCCAAGAAAAATATAATAAAAGGCGCAGGAGCACAACTTTAAAGCATAATAAAATTTATGTGGAAAAAATATCATGTTTTGGTGTAATAGTACCCCAAAATATTCGAGGTGCGTTTAAGTTTCAGAATTTTCTTTTAAAAGACATACACTTTTTATGTACGCAGACACACAAAAAAATAACACTGCCACACCTTTACGTCTTGAAATTTTAAGATACGGAAGTGACAGACATGGCATTGATTTGAAAACAGAATTAACGACTAAAAATAAACTAAAGTACATGTAACATTGCGAGATGTTTAATACTGATGTCTGTGATGACTTGAGAAAAATTGATTTCATTAACTTTATTTCTTTCAAGAAACACAAGACGACCTGATACAAACAAGGCTGACACGCAATAGAATATAATATCAAAACATTAGGTCCTATGTTATATTAGGCTGTAACCCCCGAACATGAGATGTTGCATATTGTTTGTGTGGTAATGTAGGATAGGAGACTTTAGGTGCTCTTAATCCCGAGATGAAACTGTCAGGCCCGTATCCAGACTTGATTCTTCGGAGGGACAAGTAATATATCCAGAGAGGCAATGATGCTTGGTGTTTAGTTGCAGTAATGGAATTGGTCGGTTGTCAGAATTTTTTTTCTTGGTGAATATTTCAAAACGATCACATAATGATCAAATTTGTCCAATTCCAAATAGTGCATTGCTGAAGGTTAATTTGGTAACAATCAATGCCAAACAATTTGGTCATATACTTGGAAGGGGTCCCAAAAAGATTATGTTATCCTGTATGTAAAACTTGATTGTCCTTTTGATTCATGGTAACAGCTATTTACCACGTCATGGTAATGTGTTAAATTTGGCCAATGTCATAAATTTATCCAGAGTTGGGCTTTACAAATTTATTCTAAAATATAGAATTCCCTCCCGCGTCTATGGCTGCTTAACATCGCATAGCATTTTGAAATTTAAATCTAATTCCCACACCAACATTACCACTATTGTACGAAAGGTCATTTCTTGTAACTTTAACGAGACGCAAGGTTCGGTTTATACTAGATTGATAGAAGGGAGGTAACTCCAAAGGGAACTATTTAAAATAGGGTCTGTAGCTTTTCAATTATAGCTAACCTGTCTTGCTGACATGCCAGAGGAAGTGACGATAGAAGTTTTTTAAGCCGTTAGAGGGCCGTGGCCAGTCTTGATTGTTCAGAGGATCAAGTAATATATCCCGCTGGGAAATGGGGTATGGTCATTAGAGTTGAAACGTTTACATTACCCTACATGGAGCAGAAAAGTAGGACGCAAATCTCCATTCATTTCATTTCCTGAGATGTTCGGATGTCATAATTTTTTTCAGGGGGTCAGTCCAGTTTTTCGGGAGGGGGGAGGGGAGGTCTATGCACAGGAGTTGCCAAATCAAAAAATAAACACGAGGCTATATTTATTTTTAGAAGAATTTGTAATAAGTGAAACTATATATTACTATTTATTACCTAAACTAAAAATTGGACCGTTAGTTTTTAAGTAATGAATAGGACCCTGGTGGACATTAATATATAATATTTTTGGTCCATTTTCCATGCACTTAAAGAACGAGCTTCTCAAAATTTCGATATAAAAAAAAACCCGCTCAAAATTTTCGATATGAAAAAAACCCCGTTGAATGCATATAACGAAACGCTATATGTAATGAAAATGTTCAATACAAATTAACAGATTAACAGAAACCGGTTTCTTATATTTTGACCAAGAATACAGTTATCTGTTTTCGACAGATTTGTCAAGATTTATCAATTTGAATCTACTTGAAATAGTTGAAAATATGAGACAAATATGACTAATTCTTGACTAAATTTTAAAACATTTTCTCCAGACTGCATTGTGCAAATGTTTTATCAGCAAAGTAAATAGACCGACACTTCAAACTTATGGTTACAGAAAATTCGGCGGTATAGATAAAAGTGATTTGTTATATATGTTTCATGTATCTTTACTTAATTTACAATCGAGGTATTACTATTGTTATGCTGACAACTCAGTACATGTAGTGCACATAGCCTCTGGACATTAGGCTTTGACATTCGAAACTTCAAGAGATTTTGTACGAACATCACTCCTAACCAGTTCATCTGTTAGTTACATTACATTCTTTGTGAGTTTTAAACGGTTTAAATAATAGATTTGGTTACTAAATTTCACTAAAAAGAATTATCATTAAAAATTGAAAGTAACTTTTGTTCGTGTCACAAAATCCCAGCGTTGGAGAAGGAAGAAATTTGATTGGCTGGCGGTGTCATCAAACGGGTGTATATTCAAGAGGGCCATCCTTAGATTTTAACAGAAGTGGGTAAAATAAAAATAATAAAGAAAACGGACCGAAAGTTTGGTCTAATTCTAATTAGATGATAATTCCAATCGCAATCAAGAAAAACCCATAACATATATATCGAGTTTATATTTGCTGTCAATGTGACTGTGTTATCAGAATGTATTATTAATTTTAATGAACAATGTCCAGCAAGATTGTGATGTCCAGTTACATGTCATATATCAATTTTAAAGACGCTCCATCCATTTTCCTTGTTTATTACGTAAACCTTAATTTAAAACGAAACCCTTTGAGGCGCGTCATCAGTTAGTTGTTTGCATTCGGGACTACTAAGCAAAGAGGTAAGTTTCTTGCTTTGATATGTGTTTGTGGACGATGCAAACATTGAGATTCTCAATGAAAAGAAGCATTGCAACTTACGGTTTGCCTTTGTGACTTACGTTGTTATTTGTACAGCTTTGGGAGCATAGTTAGTGCAATTTCCTTAAGATTCTCAAATACTTACTTGTTCAAGGTATAGGACTATTAGGAACCACAAACGTCGGAAGGAAAATCAAATAGGGTATTTAGCAGTGGTTTTTGTAGCTGGGAGATGCCTGCCTAAAACCAATACTGCCCATTGCAAATGCAATGATCATCGCCCATTTGCACTCTGACAAAAATTGAAAAACACATTTCAATTCGTTCATTCTTACACACATTCGATTGGCGCTACCACTGAATGAAAAGGTTGGCTAACCACTTTTGAGTTTTTTGAATATTTATTATTATGGTTATGATTATTACAGAATGAAGTTACTAGTAGCTGTTGTACTGGCTGTTTTAGTGCCATACTCTTATTGCCAGGCTCCATCTTTCTGTAAAGGAAACGAATGTCCAAAATATGTTAAACTAAATTCCACACAGGTAGGAGTATGTTCTTCTTCTGCTTTGCTTTGTGTCCTGCATTTCACATACTGGATGAAATACCATATGGACATTATTAGCTGCGTGGATTATTCAGATTAATGTGTAGGCCCGCAGTCAGACTTGATTGTTTGGTGGTTTGGTAAAGGGGTAATATCCGGAGCCCCCTCCCCCCGTGCCCCCTGTAGGGTTACACGGTAAAAGTGATTGACATTCGCAAAGTGACATCAAATGATTCAGTATTAAAACACTTTGAAGAATGACAACTGCATTGTTTTCTAGATTAGTCACCAGCTTAATGAATAATGAGTCGGTATGAAATTGTGGATTCATCTTAATGCAATGTTTTTACAGATTTGAAATTTGTGTTTGTAATTTTTGTTTTCAGGGAAACGCGTTCGAGACAAGACAATATGGTCCGTTAACATGGGCTACGACCACTTATTCAGGACCATGGCATTCTAATGTATTGGGACAATTATTTGGACGATTATTCCAATATATACAAGGAAGTAACACTCTTAGTAAGTATAGCATTTTATAAAGCCCTTAAACTTGATGACCCACAGCATCGGCTCGCCTGAGGCCAAAATTAGTGGAATTGTTTGGCTAAGCTAAACAGTAATAATGTTCGCAGCTTACCGTTAAAATTTTAGCTTTCTTAACTGTGTATCCATGATTATCAGTGTTTGAAATTGACTACTCGCCTTTTCAAGACTCTGCCATAATAACAACGGTTAAACACTGGATAATCAAATTCATGGGCCATCGTTCTTTATTACTAACATATCTATTTTACAGAGAAGAAAATATCGATGACTGTACCAGTTGTTACCGAAGTGAAATCAGCAGCCCAGGGCGGTACTCAATATAACATGAAATTTATGATTCCAACAGCTTCCATGCAGAACATTCCAAAACCCATTGACTCAAAAGTGACTCTTATAACTGATCCAGCTTCTATCTACTATGTCAGGTAAGACAGATATTTTTACATCGTAGTAGTATGTCCAAAAAAACACCTCCAAAACAAAATATATTGAAAAGTGTAATGACCGACTTCAATAGCAATTTATCATTAGCAGCACGTCGCACAACAAACGTGCCTAACCTGACCACTACGGAGCCTATGCTATGGATGCAAGCTCTCAGAAGTACTGGTAGTGGATTTAGATTTGTTCTTACCTTGAACAGATTCGAACTAACGGCGTCTTATAGCTCAGAAACGTCAATCCGACAGCAAATTATTTTACTGAAATTATTATCAATAATCTGTATAATTGTACCCCTAAAGAAATCTTAACTTTTACGAGTGGGGTATACTTTTAACATTTTGGACGCTCATTGGAGCCAATTTTCCAACCGTTAACAAAGGTGAACGTTTGTGTATTTGTAAGAAACTGAATGTTACATGTGTGTATTTTGTATTTACAGGTCTTTCGGTGGATTTGCCAATGGTCAGATATACATGTCAGAATTACAAAATTTAGTTAATTCCATCAACAGTCCTAATATATATGATAACAATATGTTTTATACCGCCACTTACGACAGTCCGTCTGAGAAATACAACAGACATAATGAAGTTTGGTTAAGGAAACTTTAAAACCATCAGTCAAGCATTATTTAATTATCCAGTCAATTTCACGAATTTTTGAATATTGATATTGTGTTTGTAATAAAATATGGTTTTGGTTGTAACGTGTTATTTTTGTTGAAACACTCTAGTGGTATCAATTGTTTACTGGCACAAAGTACCGAATTCTACCTCTCATCCACTGTAAGTTATGTACCATGTCCACCAACGATTAACAGTTATTGGAAACTTGACGTTATTTCCAAAATGGGGTCATAAGAATATTGGTCAGCGTCAGTTTCAGTTGAAAAGCTAAATTTTCGGTTTGGTTTGTTAAAATAAATGCTTTCAAAGATATATTGACAGACGCAAAATAATGGTCAAATACTGCAGCCGTCATGGCGTCATTGCACTTGTTGCAAGAAAAGAGGAAGATCTCATTTCATTTTAGCAATTACAAATATAACCATAAATATCATACAACAAATCAAATTCAAGGGATATTGTCGTCGAAATATTCTGTTCATTCATCAAGGTCGTCCAAAGAGACAATCATTGTCTCGACTATCTTTAGCGAATGGCTATGCGGCTATATCCCTTTACACAGATTTAAACTCGTCTTATAGGTTTACTTTTGATCAAGACGACAATTATTTTGTCAGTTTATGAATACGTCATGTCATGAACTGATTTTAATAAAGGTACGCAATCCTCTAATCGTACACCCAGACTCTAGCTCAACCTTCACTTTTCAAATAACGTTCTCACGAATTGGTAACAAAATAGGTTACCCTTAAATCAACAAATTCGACGTATATTGACATTATTTGACCTTCAAATGGCATTTATTTTCTATCCTTTACTAAAACCGTGAGCAATCGAGACAATATTCATGCCAACTTGGCCGGTTCATAGGCGTATTGGCCGACGGTCTGTTGAAGAGGGGAGAGAGGGGAGAGGGTCGGGTCGGGTTGTTGCCTGAAATTGTCCCGCGAAAAACACTCGAGGTTTTGTCGGTCGCTGCCAAATATTCGTAAGAATGTAATTTTTGAAATGACGGAAAATAAACTTATTTGATTTGTGAGAGCTGTAAAAGAGAATGTCTTGATGACATCATCCCTTCACAACATTTGATATAAACTATAAATTATCCTGTAACATTTCGTAGTTTTTCTTCGTCCTGACTCCTTCAAAATCTTTAACTGTATCTGTTTAAGAGGGAAACTTCAGCGTATGAATTGGATGAGATAGAAATGTGATTATAGGATATATTAATTTTTGATGTAAGGGATTATACGTCTGGACATCAACAACAACAACAACAATAACAACGAGAACAACATCAACGAAAAACAATACTTCGTGTGTCTATGAAACAAGTATATTCACTGTCAAAATTTTTATCTTCGTAAGTTGAGCAATTTATTGTTTTGTTTTCGTCGTCGTGTTTATATGATATCTATGAATCCAATATTACTGTCCAATTACAATGTTTACAGAATCGAACTCTGCCAATCAATTTTGTAAAGTATTCAGTATTAGGTGATCCATTTTCCAAATTTAAAGGGACAGATTCACCATCCGTTCGACCATTCGTACCTTAGTCTCAGAAACTGAATTTTTTTCACGACTCACCGTCGAAATTTTATCTTAAAAAACGTTTGGAAATTAAAATGTCGACTCGTCTTATCTCGAGACTCCAGTATTTTTGAAGTGATCCTGCGATTTTCATACTTCTGAAGACTATTTAAATAATTCAAGACCGAAATCAACCCTCCAAAATAGCAAACCTGTCCCTGTTAATATTTTTAATACATATTCCAGACTCAACGTGACCAAGCAGCATCCTGAACATGAAGTTAATGTTTCTCGGTTTTATTGGTATTTTAATGTTATCAACGTCAAACAATGCTTCCGCCTCGCCATGGTTTTGTAAAGGTCTGGAATGTCCGAAATTCAATCTCTTGAACAAGACAAAGGTAAGTTATCTTTTTTTCACTTCGGCATTACATATTATATTAACACTACTAAGGTAAAGACTATTTACCACGCCATTGTTAAGAGCTATTTGTGTCTTACTAGCTATTTTCAAGGCACAAATCTCTACCCGTTCAGGAATCCATTGGAACATAAATTATTATCACATTTCGGGCGCTTGTTGGCACTCGAATCTGAATTTAGCTCCTATTGAGATCACCTGACGACAGAAAGTTGCCATTGTGCCAAGTTGGGTGCGATATTTGATATGTCATTCGGGGTCACAGACTTGAAAAATGTTGGAATTTTATAGGCACTTTAATTTTTAGATTGCTGTAGCGCTCTATATTTTTGAATTCTATTGTCCAAGTCAAAAGATCAAAGACCGAGGGACTTTCTTGATCCACTGAATGCTTCTATATTTGACAATACTGTATTACAGGATTATGAGGTTCGTCAGTATGGATCTTTAACCTGGGTAACAACATCACATATTGGTCAATGGAAATCAGATATTCTTGGAGAATTATTATTTAAAAATTTGTTTAGTTATATAGAAGGCAACAATACCATGAGTAAGTAAAACCAATTGCTTTCTTCAAAATCTGTATCACTTATTGATTCACAAACCGAACTCATCGTTCGCTAGCACATCTTTTATCTCTTCACAGCGAAAGGAGTGGATATTCCAACCGAATTCGATATGTTTTTTGAGCTCTGTGAAAAACCATTTAAACGGGTTACTGAGTAGCTAGGGGGAACTAATATCAAAGGTTGGGAAACAGAGACCAAGAGTTTTCTCAGTAATGGTTTAGCATTCAACATTACCAATAGGACCCTCGATTCATATGAGATACTTTTTTTTGAGTCGACGGTTTTTGAACTTGTTAGGAATCAATGATCACACTCACAGGAAATGATCAGCAAAAAATGTTAACACGTTACAGCTTTTGTACCAAATTCATAAAGATAAGGGAGCTCACAACACTGCAATTTTCTCATATGATATCCAGAGCACGTTGCTACACTGTCTTGCACATTATTCACAAATCCATCCTGACCATACAAGTGACGTGGACTGACTCTTTTCGTCTGGATTCCAGGATGTCTTATTACGTTGTTTCATAAAGTCTCTATTTCTTCCCCATAGAAAAACAGTTAGATCTAGCAGTGCCGTTGCTAACCAAACTCGAGTCAGCAGGTGATAGAGGAAGTATATACACAATGCATTTACTCATACCACGTGAAAATATTGATCATCTACCAAGTCCACTAAATACTAATCTTACTTTTATTACAATACCACCATCGACTTATTATATACGGTATGTATATACAGCCGATTAGTTCCGGAAAGACTTAAGCAATTTTGCTGAACGTGCTCTGATTGTTTGTAATCGACAGTGTCTAATCCATTCAATTCGCTGCATTCACAAACTTCGGGAATACAAGAAAGGTGGCTATTGTAGTCAAGGAATTAGACACAGTTCGCAATAGCTTGAACCATATTTAAATACGTAGCTTTATTTTTTTTTCCAGTTCTTTCGATGGCGTTGCTTATGATAGACAATATATGAAGGTATTACAAGAACTTGTGAACGCTATAAATGACACTGGGGCGTATCCTGATGATTTTTTCTATACTGCTACGTATGATCACCCACAGGTCAAAGAAAATCGTCACAATGAAGTTTGGTTGTTGAAAAAGGAAAAGATACCATAACTTTACTAGATACTTTTCATTAAGAGCCTTTTTCTTCATATTCGCTAGATAATCTGTGTAGAGAACCCGCCAAATCACAAATGAAATGAAGTCTCACGTCCTGCTATTCTGTGCCTGATCGGGCTAACGAAAACAGATCAAAATTGAAGATGTTAGATATATTAATTGTCCGAAATAAAAACAATACTGAAAAAAAATTGTTTTAGCAGTATGGAATCTCCACGAAAATGAATCGATGTTAACAAATCGCAAAAATTAGAATGATACCAGGTGATCGCAAAGGGTGATAACGCCCTATCATCTTTTTGTTTCCACTGCCTGTGGCCAGCCCCCCTCCTCCCATATTACATTTTTAATGAATTGCAGAAGAACCAGATGTCCGATTTAAATTTCGAAAAGAGATACATATAGCTAATATGGAGCTCTAGGAACTGATGAATTGAAAATTATATGACTGTAAATCTTTAGATAAGTTAAAAGACAAAAACGAACAGACTGCATTTAATATATTTAATAACGACTACTTACAACTTTACAAAATAACTTAATAAGATTATACAAAAATGTACAACGATATACAACGATATACAAAAATATAAGAAAAAAGTATTATTTTATAGTATATACAAGTATTAATTCGTCACATTTGAGAAACCAAATACATTAAAGAGATTGTAAAAAGTTTTTCTATAAAAACTATGTGTATAGGTGATTACATAAATTTGCACCATTCCAATTTTCAATCAGACATCTGTGGTTATGCAATTCCACTTAAACTATACGTTTTATGACGTCACTATCGCAAATGTCCTTATAATATATCAATAGCAGTGCGATAGCGGTGGCATAAAACGCCCACTTTTTTGTGGAATTACACGAGCCACAGACGTCGGGCTGAAAACACTTTTTGTAATGGTGCAAATTCATGCTATAAGTGTTCCCGATCCACATAAAAAGTTTAGAAAACCTCTTTACAATCCCTTTAAGCAAAACTTGCAGTTCTCGATTATCACAGTTAAAAACAAACACAGACACTTTTTGTGGGAAAGAAAGACACAGAATACCTACGAGGCAATGTGTGTATAACGGTACTAATAACAGGGACAACAACAAGAGTTTTCTGTGATCAGACTGTCCCAAATAATGAGGATGCGATCTTATAAATTTCCAACTCTTTTCTTATCTCTTAAATATCATGGCTATAGGAAAATGCCTGACATATGCGACTATAATTCAAAGACTTTTGATGCAACAACTCTCGATAGCTTTTGTAGCTCTTAAACAGGATGACGAAAACGAAAATTTTCCTGAATCTTCAGCGACGAGAACAATGACTTATTCTAACGTTTGAATTGATGCACTTTCCTTCAATCGACTTTTCCCACTTATGGCAAAATCCGTGTACTCTACATATTAGCTGAACTTGGTCTTAACCAAGTATCATCTTGTAGAGTAGTTGCCGAGGATGACCTGTAAAAAAATAAGCTGGGTTAAATTCTTAAAGAGTTATTTTTACAGAGTCATAGATAAAATAAATATTGCAGTTTTTAGAAAATAAGCAATCATTTATCATCACAGGGATTTTTAATTTCAATAAAACAAAAAACATTACAAGCGGAAAATTACGGATTTAGTGACGTCACAAACTACGATTCATCAAAGACGACGAAATTTGCTATGCTTGTAGACAATCGACATATATATTTGCGTGTATAGTGCGCATTATAGACAGTGATATTTCACCAGAGATACCAGTTATTCAGCAGTGAACGGTGATAGTTTTCAATATCAACAATGAATAGTGCCAATTAGAAGATATGATTTTTTATTTTGGCAATCTAAGAATGGTGTGAAAAATCTTACCGATGTCCTCTTAGTCGTAAACCATCAGTATCTATAAGAAACAAGATGTGTATACGGTATTATAAAGACCCAATTCCACCCTCGTATGGTTGCAAATAATGAAAGTGGTCGTGAGTATCGAACGCAACTCACAACTCACAGTTGCGTTTGAAACTTATGACCGCTGTACCTATTCGCAACCATACGCAACCGGTGATCGCTATGGTCTGAGGGGCCCTTTTCACAAATTAACACAATTAAACCACCGGTTCGTCAATGACATCCTTCCGATCACAACAAGCCACTGAAGTTCCAAGCTCAGTCTGCTAGCTATACTTAGTGAGTGACACGTTATAATATGCTTAGTGAGTGTGAGGTGGACACTTACCATAATCATCATAAGATCGATATGATCTATCTCCATAACCATCTAAACTTCTCGAGGTTTGAATTCTTCCATAGTGACCAGTCTATAAGATAAAAATAGAGATGCAGTTATAATACATAAGAATAGAATCAAAACCAGATCACAAAACTACCACAAAAAAGGTTCGAAGTTAATCCTATGGTTGATCACCTCTTTTTGGGCGAGACATGGGCATAAACTTGCAAAGAGCTCCACATTATGAACAAAAAGATCCCTCGACTGTTAAAAAGAGAGAAAGAGTATACTCATGCCGATAAAGCTAATATGTATTTGGTAGGATCACAGTACGAAATTCAGATCTAATATAGCTGAAGTCCAAATTTTGAAATCTTTTGTGAACCATGTTTCTTGTGCTCGTTATATAAAACTTAATGCTTACCGTTATGTTTGGTGTCCATGGATACATTTCTAGCCATTTCCTTCTCCTTTCTTTTTCATCATAATGTTCTTCTGTTATCTGATCTGTAAATTGTAAAGTAAAAAAATGAACAAGTATGAAATATGAGAGATATTTTGTTAAACCTTGACTAAAAAATATCACAAAGGACTGACAAAGTCAATAATAAAACCCAGAAAATGATGGTGTCGTATATGATAATAAACCTAACGATATTTGGATAAACTATTTCTAAATCCCACTCCACTTTATACATCAGTATTATCAATAGAAAAATGAATAAAACTTACATTCTTGCAGGCCACGTATAGTTTGTTCTTGTTGTTTTAATAAAGCTGCTTGTTGCCATTCTAACTTTTTATTAGTGTACGGCACCTCGGGGAACATTCCTCTAAACACTTTACGAGCTGGTATTTCTGGAAATATTTAAAAAAGACCATAAAAGTACCATCGAGATATTTAATTAACAAGAGTTTTCAAGGTCAGGAAACTAGGGTCAAGTCTCTTGGAAGTTATCTGTCACCAATGAGTTCTTCCTCGATGGAGACCAAGGAGTGAAGATAACCACGATTCTGATCACAAACATGATCTTAAAACACGAAACGAAGCGATCAAAATATGTTTTCGTGATAAGGACGTTCGAGAAATTGGCGATAGAAATCCACGTGCGACAATGGAATCCTCTGCATATTAAAAAGAAAAAAAACTTGATTGTTTCTCCATTCTTATAATTTCAGCCTCTTTGCCTATATTGATTGGGTATTTTCTCTCTTCAACAGCTTTCTGTCTTTATGTTTTTTTCCTATATAAAATAATGTTGGATACCAACCTCTATGTTTTAGATCTGTAAATATAGCTACATTTTGTCTATTAGCTAAATCAGCAGTCGATGGTGTTTTTGGTAAAGCATATCTGAAAAATCCGACAAGGATGATATAAAAGAGCCTACAATCTTTATAGTGTTGGTCTAGGGGCATATTCACAATGTCAAGTTATTACGAACTTCTTCTTATACCTTGACTGCAAAAGCAGTGATCCTTGTATCGCAGAAATTTGTATATGCAGCGATTTGGTTGGATTGTACGTTAGCAAATACAGTCAATCAGAGCTCTTGACAGAAAGACTGTAAACATTATGGCATTCATAGATAATCTGTCGAATCTAGTTTTTTTGACACCATAGCGGAGTAATCCTTGCTTAATGAACATAGATAATGCGCATTGCCAAATTTGGTACACTTCTTTCAGATAATGATATAAATACTTCCAAATATATTATGTAAAGCGGCCATTACAGCCGCCTGAAGAGTGAATGATTAAACTGAAGTATTGAACTTACTGTTGTCTTTTCTGTTTTATTACTCTTAAATCCATTCCTTTATTAGGTTCAGACTGCAAAAATTACAAAAATATTTTTATCAAACGAGTTCTAGTATATTATATATTGAACCATTGGGAGACATTTGAATCTATTTTGCCAAATCAAAAAATTGATATTGCACAATAACACAAAAAACGGAGATCCACCTCTAAAGTAAACATAACTGTTATACAACATGCTATGATCTGTATATGTAGGTGATTAATGCTGCCAAATCCTTGTCTGTCGGCATCAGTTTTAGCAGTTTTGTTCCACAATTTTTAGATTAACATTCATTTACCTTTCTGTTAAGTAGTGCCTCTATTTTTCGCCTTTCTTCCCGCAGTTGATTGCGATACAATCTAATATCATACAGATCGGGAGCTACAAATATGAAGCAGAAGAAAAAAATAAATAAAGACATATTCACAACAGACAGAACCTGTTTACTTAGGACTGAAGCCACCGACAAGTTAAAATGTCGTTTCGAACAAAGATAAAGATATTGATAGTGTTGCAATTTGCACCTTTGTTCTTCCTGGTCAGAATAGGGGATGAAAATATTTGAATAAAAACTCACATTTGGGTTGAATTATTCTTATATCTGGGTTTGGCTGGAAAAAAAGTAAACGAAAATGTACTAATTCCCTTAGTCTCGACAATTTTCCTCCAATGTCTACATATTCAGAGGAATGGTAACTTAAGCAGCTTGACGGCGCCATTGTTGTCATATTTTAAATTTATGGAAAGAATACAAGTGTGGAAGAGTTTAACAGAAAGTTGAGGGAAGTCAAAGAGATAATTACTTACCGCGGCTTCCTGTCTAGGCTGACGAAGAGCTAAAAGTCGTAATCTCTCTGCCTCTCGTCTATCTCGTTCTGCTTGTCGTCTTCGTTCTTCAGCTTCTCTTCTTAGTTCTTCCATTCTTCTGCGATGCTGCATTGAAGATCATAATAAACATTGGGTATTTGAATGATTTCTAATGTAAAGTGAGTATGAAGTACTGCTACGAAACTTATTTATAAACGCCATCATGGATTTCAAGAAAATTCGACACATAGTTCTTTTGAAATATGATTGTCATCCTCCATTGAATAAAGGCATCAGATACAAGTGGTGGACACTGTAGAATACTATATCCTCGACCTATCGCTTCTTTTCAGTGAGTTCTCTTACTCGTGTCGCATATCGTTCAAAGAACTATCGGAAATTATTTGAAATCTTTTAAGATCCTACCTCTGCTTCCTGATCTCTGGCTCTGCGCATCTCAGCTTCTCTATCTCTGTCTAATTTTCTTCGGTGGTCTGCATTTTCTCTTTCTAGTCGTGCCCTCATTCTTTCATTTTCCAACTAAAGTTGTCAAACAATACGAATTTTGACATAATTCAAATCGAATTGACGACGAGTGAAATCTGGTTTGGACACTGATTATGCTACATTGAAGGGTTCCAAGCCTTATCAGACAAGAACTTCCTGATGTAAGTATGATTAAAGGCGATTCAAAAATTTTTTCAAGCCTGTACATGTGTATTTTGGACACATATTTCCTATCCGACGTCTGTGGTTTCAGTATGTAATTCCATAAAAACATAATTACATAATCTCGTCACTATCGAGATACCGTTTGACTTAAATAATGTCTTGACAGATAATTTAATAAAAATTATCTAGATTAACAGGACCAACAAATGGGACGGGAAATATACATATACATAGGCTAGAAAACACATTTTAGACCTCTCACTACCCTATTTAATGTTAAAATTATCGTAGTAAGTATCAGAAAAAAATGTTAGACAACAATGAAACTACACAAATGTTACCTTTTTATCTAAATCTATAAATCTCTTTTCTGATATCCTGGCACGTTCTTTCTGGATTCAAAATGTTAAAAAATGAAAGAAAACTACAAAATTAAATGTTATTGTAATGTTATGTTCTGAAGCTTAATAAAAAATTTAATTAGAAGAAAATTTCAAGCAAATAAACTAAATAAATTCTATGACAAAAACTATGTATTAGGAAGTTTCTTACGTAATCTTATCAGACGAAATAAATAAATGCATTGCCAAGGATTTAATCACGAGAGGTTTTTAATAGAAAAGGGGGTGCAACTAGTATCTACAAACTTTGACAATTCAGCCGGCGACCAGCGAGCTTAACTTTCTATTTGAATAGGGTCAGAAAAAATACGAAACATTAACCTATCTACTGAATAAGACTATTGTTAAAAATAAAAAAAAAACATAAATTAGACTATAATAAATAGTAAAATAAAAAAAGGGTGAATTTTCATAACTTACCATGGACATTTGGAGAACTGATTTTAGTTCTATGATACCAGCTAAAAATCAAATAATATAACCGTAAGCATGAGTTACAACTGAGTTACAACTGATTTATAACCAACACCTAATAGGTGATTTGTTATTCAGTATCGCTGTGTCGAACACCAAACTGCTAATAGCCAACGTTTGCTTTATAGTTAGCTTTGTCTGTCATATATAGTTTCCTTGTTAATAATGGTTTTTTGAATAAATGCTTTGTATCCATCTTTAGAACCTTTGTTTAAAATTGAAACACACACAAATTTTCTTTTTAAAAATATAAGTTTTTAAATTTAAGGTAAAAAAGTGATTAAAACTTACAATCATTTTGAAATGGGTTATACCTCGGTGAATGACCACTGAAAAGGGGAAAAGAAATAGTAAAAAACTTGATGAAGTAGACGAAAAAAGCAAATGAAATTTTCGGAAAATGACACCAATCACTCGACCTCCACAAACGGAAGTTCGAAATACACCGTTAAATATCACGTTTTGTGCTAATGAGTCATTTTTTTCCAGATTAGATGATTTAAGTCAGATATACATATTATATGAAACTCTATGCACCATAATATTACAAATAACTACTTTGCGATTGTCAACTTCCGGTTTCGTTGATAGTTAAGACTATGTCGAAATGACGCAAATAAAAATGGTTCACATACAATGCCCTGAAGAACTTTTATAACTACTTTAAGGTTTCACGGCTAGATGACTTACCTATCTATTGGTTGATGGTTGATAATTAATGGTCGAGGACTGGTCTGATTGATAGTTAAAGGTGGGACTAGGTTTACTGGTGCTGGAATATAAACAGAGTACAGTCTTGATATCCTGTGATCGATATAGCTGCTCAAGCGCACAATCTGGTAAATGTTTAGTATCGTGTCTTTTGCTTTTTCAACCAAAACACACAAAAAACACAAAGTATTCGAAGACCTCGGGTATAGTGTATCCAGTGATAATTTTTGCTTATTCGAAAAACAGAAATCCGCTTCCAAAGCAACATAACAAATATTGGATTGTTAATAACCAATTCATTATCCTGTCAACTTTAGAGGTAATTTTTTTTTTATTCTTTTTGCATTGTGTTTTATTTCGTCTGATTGTTCTGACATAGACTGTATTCTTCACTTATGTTTATAAGTCTTCATAATGTATGTTCATATATATTACTAACTTACCGGATGCTGGCATATCATACATAGGTTGATACGACATGCCCATAGGTTGTTGAGGATATGCACTGAAATTAAGAGAATATTTAATCATTTCAAATTTTCAACATCATTTTACATCGGAAAGTGAATGTGCGCTCTCCCTTCAAATAAGTTCATCCTTTGTACATCTAAAGAACTTGGATCAAATTGGAATTCGTGCAAATATAAACCCCTTTCAGATTAAAATATGTCCGGTATGTTTGTTTCGAATATGTCAAATTTTCGTGAAGGTTTTGAAAATTCTTAAATAACACATAAAATGACAATTGTTTAGAAACATACCAAGAGTCAACATATTAAAAACTATCATTATACAAATATTTACAAAATAAATAAATCGAAAAGAAAAGTATGAATATTAAGTCTTAAATAATATTACACATGAAAACTACAACCATAAAAACTACTATCATAAAAAGTAAATAATATACAAAATGACTCCTTAAAAGAACAAGTGCGCCATTTGAAGGGGTTGATTTGAATCTTGAATATATGTTAATAGTCTTCAGAAGTACTAGAAATGTTAGAAAATCGCATAATTCCTTCAAAAAATACTAGGAATTTCACTCTCTATTTCTATATAATTATGTCTTTTCTATATATCATGGAGTATACTAAAGTGACGAGTCGTGATTTTAACATTCAAGCGTGGATAATTCTAGACACACATGGATTTGAAGGCTCCAATTTCGACGGTGAACTGTGAACAATATTACTGATTGGCTCAGCTAAAAATAAATCCCATTTCTGAGACTAAAGTATGATTGGTCAAATAAAAATGGCACTAATGTCTTTCTGAGTAAGAAGCGGAATATCGTGGTTAATTCCTTGGTATTAATTACATAGAAAATAATAACAAAAACAGTTTTATTATCTCCGACTAAATTAACAACTAAATTATAAGAATAAAAACTTACAAAATATGTAAAATTGTAATAAAATTAAAAATGTTAACTCTATCTATTTTCAAGCTCGTTAAAAACTCACGGCGGTTGGTAAAATATGCCAGGATGAATGTCAAAAGACCTTCTAGGAGGCTCTATTAATTGCATGGCAGGTACAGACGAAGCCCTGACATGAAGGGGCGGAGGTGGAGAATGGTCTCTTACTGTTAAATTTGGCATGGCCATTGGAGACCGTGCTCCCCTTTCTCTGGCCCATATCTTATTGCTGCAAATGATTTGAGTAAATATTAATCGAAATAGTATAATACTGTGTATCAAGTAATATCTTTTCTGTTTTTGGTCTCAAGGATTCCTATCAACTTTATCAAAAATAATATTTCCCGATCGCCATCTTCATAATTCCAAGTTTTCAAAATTAATCGGTGAGGACCACTATACGTAACGAAACGTCGTTACCCTGAATGAAATCACAAGGAAAACAATCTTAGTACATTTCCCACCTTCACAATGTCAAGCTATAACAAGCTTCGTACTTATACCTTGACTGCGATAGTCCCCTTTCTTGAATCATGGAAGTTTGTAAATGAAACAATTTCTGGATTGTACGCTAGGGAATAGAGTCAATCAGAGACCTCGACAGAAAGCCATGATGTTTACAGACTATCTGTGAGGGCTCTGATAGACTGTATTCGCTGGCGTACAATCCAATCGAATCGCTGCATTCCGTGATACAAGAATGGTGACTATTGCAGTCAAGGTATAAATACATAAGTTCGTAATAGTTTGACATTGTAAAGAACGCCATGATTCCTATGATTCCTTTATTATAAGTTCCATTTGAACTTTGAAGGTACTTTTCATATCAATGGATTTAGATTGAACTTTCTTATCATCATCAACCGTTCAAAAAAGCAGTTTACTCGGATTAAATTGGAAACTATTTAATTGTGAAGATGGATAGAGGAATAGTTCTTTTGCATTGATGATCTACCGAAAGTTTTACATTGGAAAGTAGATTATGAGTACTCACACTCTGGGTCTAGGAGAAATGATTTTAAGAGGAGGTCTACGTCTTTCTACAGGAGGTGATACTACCTGAACCTGTGGTCGCTCTACAATTGTTGCTTGTCCTGCTACCAGCTTCCTGCAAGTCCACAAAGAAAATGATTCTTTATATTACTTTGAAGGCGGCTGATGTTCAGTTTAATGAGTTTTTTTTTAATCTTTTGTCACTTTGCTATATATTCCAAATATGAATTACTGTTTGTCTATGTATCAAATTATGAAATCGCCAAATCGTATTTTAATTCCAATAAGATTTCATACAGGAAGCTGTTTGCAAGACCTTCGTAGAATAAAACACACGGGCGGTTGGCAAGATAAGAGTAAAGAGTTTGAAAAGAGGTTCTCTAGCTTATGTTTATTCTATTATGTGAAGGCTATCAGAAATACTAGAAGATTCTATTTGCACCTTTCAAATTACCATGATACTTGTTCCACTATTGCAAATACATGTTATTTGTGACGTGATATTTTTGTCGTATTTCACGAACCTTACACTTTTCGGGTGAATTTGGAATGGCGCAAAAGAATCTATAAGTATCCCTCTGCATCTCCAATTCTTAAAATAAGTGTATGGGGATACATAAAATCATAATAATGTCGACATGAGGTAAAATGATGTGTCCTAAATCAGAACCATAGAAGACAAATTATAACATGACGAAAAGTAAGATCATAAGAGATTCAGGTAGATCACAACCCGTAGCATAAACTGAAACAGTTCACAAGAAGCTCGAAAACATTCAAGACAAAAACCAAAGGAAATTGTGCCAAAAATGTTATATATGCAATTAGCTTAAAAGTTGCAAATAACCCGCTAAATTGGACATAAAGACGCATGATGGTGTACAAATTTGTAATTATATGTTTTATGTTTAGAGTAAAAATGATTCAATACATGAAAAAAGTTGTATTACCAACCGCCATAAGTGTCTAAAGCCACAACCAAAGTATGAATGTTATTCTACTAGCACAGGGGTTTTCATTTTTTTTCTTTCTAGTACCCCTTTCAGAATTCTTGATCGCTCGTTTTACCCCCCTCCCCTATAAATCACCTATTGTTTTGTGATGTTCTTTTCATGTTCGAGAATATAGCCTGATGGAATAAAACGAATAAAATCATAAGTCCAATAATGTAATGCTAGACTACAAAGCGTCACATTATCCCCCAAAATTTTTAAATACGCCACCCCCACCCACCTCTCCAGGTTAAAAACCCCTGTACTAGCATTAAGGCAGTGTTGCTGCCTGTAAAACCATGACTGGTATGATACCGGATGTAGACGTAGACAGTCCAGGACAGTTTTGTAGGTAAAGAATGGTTGAGGATTATAATTACCTGGGTTGATCGAGAGCAAACAATGTATGGTATGGTTTAGCTCGAGACTCTCGAACTCTCTTAGTCGTCATGAAATCATGACCGCCAAGAGGTTTGAGACGTTCAGGACCTTTCTCAGGATCAAGCCATCCAGAAGCATTAACTCGCATGTCTTGTAACTTTTCTCTGAAAATATAGAAAAATCAGGAATTTCAAGTCAAAGACTAGACGTTTTGAAGGAAAAAAATGTATAAGAGTCTTGTTTTTTTTTTGCCCATCAAATTAACACTGATATATTTCAACCTTGAACATTGTAAAGTCAACACGTTTTTGAGTGAAATCTGCCTTTGTCAGTTTTCTGTCTTTTACAAGAACAGATGAAAATCAGTGCAAACTATAGTCTTCATATGACAAAAGAGGTAACTAAAATCAAAGCATTTCACACGTAACAACGGAAAAAAATACCGTGCCTAACTCAGCATTTGAGTCAAATTATTCGAAAATTTGTAAATCAAGAGCAATAACTTTTTGATCTAATTCGAAAATGTCTAAATTTTATCTTGTCTGTTCAAGCAGAAAGGCAAAACTTTCAGATTATCATGGCATTCAGAAAAAAGGGAACAGTAAAGACATGTCCCTTTAATACCTTCTTTGATCAAAATAGGTCAAAGTACATGTATATCAATATATTTCTCTGTCACGTTTCATTGATTTCTACCTTAGTGTCATCCTAATGTCACAAAATGATTAATATTACCTTCGTAGATTATAGCTCCAATCCATTTCATTCTTTTTTTCAAGGAAGAACAATGGTTCTACGTAACAATGATGAACAATAGACAGGACCTTCTATACATTTTGTCAACAATGTATACTGTACTGTTGTTTTCATTAACATGTCCTAACGTGTTTACCACACTTATGATATACTCGATATACTTAGATTTAAATACAATCGTATATCGAAAATGGGAATTTATAGGTAGTAAATAACAACTTTGATCGTTTGATCGTTTGATTTATGTACTTTAAGGTATTGGAAAAAAGGTTTGGTAGCCAATGTATTCTAGCTGTAGCCTTTTGCGGCATTGTATTTTCCTGCCCAAAGACGGTGGTTCCTGCTTTTCCAGAATTTTTATTTTTACTGGACTATGAAGGTAGTTTAACCAACCATTGGCTTTTAAGGTATCTATTTGTGATAGTGACGTCATCACCTGCACAAGTTTTTTTGGAATTGCAGGAACCGGGTGTTGGAAATCGGAAGTAGTGCTAAGTGAATATAAAAAGTGACCCGGATGCGCATAAACAACCAGAAATGTTCTTTTGAACCCAATTCCACTAAAGGGTTCTGGTTCACTCCAAATGCACTGCCAAAGGATATAATCATTAAGATGCAAGGACTATAAAATCAGTTGATACAAACCTTTGTCTTGCAGCATTTTTCTCTCTCATTTGTAATTCTAAATCCTGCTTATAGTCTTCTTGTCGTCGTCTTTTGGCACTACTTCTTTCGGACTCACCTGAAGAAGAAGATAGATCGGATCAGCACCCCAAGTATTACAAGAGTAGACGCAACAAAAGCAAGAAAAATCCGTAAGACGAATAGATGGTAATTTCTAGTACATGATGTATGATGTATGTAATTTCTAGGTTCATCGTCAATCGTGGATCCAGTCCCCTATTTTTCAGAGTATGGAATCACGATGTCTACGATTCCTGTGTTCCATGTCGGCGATATTGTTCGATGTAACAATAATGCTTTTCAATAAAATAGCACCTTTCTTTCATGGAAACCATCAGGTCATTTTCATCATTGGTTTTTTACCATTCCCCATTCTTCAATTCTCATTGACTTATAGATTGCAGGAACACAAATCAATTTAAAGGTAATTCTATCGACGAATAGAAGGATTCTCAATTGTTGACTACATCATTAAATCGTGCTTCAATTTTTACCCTTGAATGCCGAGACGATTTTATTCGAATTTGTGGACGCTGTATTGAATCATAATTCGTTGGATGAACGGTAATTTGAATATCGCTTAACAAACTTACCTATGAGCAGAGTGGCGTTATAGCCACCGTCATTGTACGTTTCAACATCCATGTTGACACTTGAGGGCACTATTCACTTCAGATCTCACTTTTAAATCCATTAATTGTTCCCATTGTTATCTTAAAATTACACCGTAAAATTTAATTGGATTTTACATCGTAATCCAATCCAAATCTCCAATTTTTGTGTGGATGTAATTGGAAAGGTAGCCAATCCAAGCCAAACTTTCTTATGTTGTATTTGGTTGTCAAGCCTTATCTAACACAATACAATAAATGAATTCATGTTGTCGTGGGTAAAAAGCCTTTCTGACAAATATGCGATCAAAAGCAAACCAGGGTAGGCCATTTCATGATATACCTCTATTTCTTTCACGGGTCTCATTAACAAAAGTTTTATTATAATGCCATTTTTCACTCTATGGCCTTATTGAATTTGGGTTATTTACAATATGTATATATACATTAAAGAGTATTTGCTATGTGTAATAATTTCTATCGAGATCTAATGGACGTTAAGAAATTGTGTTTGACAACATGAAATTTTAAACAATTAGGGTTGATATATATTTGTTCTTATCACCAATCAATATGTTCGTCATAACGCGTTTGACATGGGCCGTAACTCTAGGACGTGTTCATATGTAATAATAACGCTCTTGCCCTACACATTGTAAAGTCAATGGCATGTGTAACCATACCTTGGTAAAAGAATCTTAACTGGTCAGCAACCTTTCCTGTTTAACCTCCTGGAGCAATATAATATCCTTCTGTTCCAAACTGACTCGTCGGCTTAAAGTTTTTACGATGTTAAAAATTTGTTTTGAAAATACCTTTTCACAATATTAAATTCTAAACTGGTGAAAACACTCTGAAAAAAGCATCTTTATCACTCGACTATCTCGACAAAAAAAACCAGACATCAAATATCTGCCATAGTTTAGGAAATAAGTTCGATAATAGGACACAGAACCAAGCTAAATAGCTGACTATTCTAAATGAGCCAATTTCGCTCAAAGTTTGCTCTTTTTTTCTATAAAGTAGACCCGAGAGAAAGTTTTATAAAGTAGCCTTCTTCGACATTTTTGTGATTAGGAAAAGCAGTATTCGACAATTGTTGATTGACTTTCAAAAACCGGAATGTCAACACGAAATCTGATTGGCTGAAATTTCGTTTAACCAATCGACTTTTAGTATTCAGCCAATTAGTGATAATTGGTCTAATCAGTCGGCACATTCAACACCTAAGAGTCACAGTTCGGAATTACTTGTATCTAGTTGGACACGATTAATTGTTTCAACGAGCGCATGGCTTACATCTGATTAATTGTAGTCTCGACTGAAATACAATTGTCAAGTACGAGAAATGTCGATTTCAAACCCAGAAAACTAAGAAAACTTAGATGCTTTTATTTAATGGAATTGAAAAAAAAAACCCGAAAAATGACTAGAAATTTCAATGTAAAAAAAAAATTCAAAATATTTTAAGATTGCAGATAGCTCTACCTTAAGCTGCGAGAGAACGAGTTAGAGACATTCTTTTTCTAATCATAAGATTATATAGATATTATTGTGGTCTGAATTTATGATAAGGATTCAGAGTTATGGTGTGATTGATATAATGAGATCAATATAAAATCTCTTGACTGATAACCTATTCTCGACCTAAGTTTATATTAACTATAATTCATACCATTCTTTAATAACATATTTGTCTTTTAAATCTAAATATTTATGTTTGATATCTATGATATCTAATTGAAATAGTTGGCCTATATGAAAAGAAAGGTTTTTAGAGCTTATTGTGGCTTGCCGTTCAACAGGCTCACCAGGGTTTAAATCGACTGGCAATTCAAAGGATTACATCGGACTCGCCCGGCTCATACCCAGAAATTGACCAATAAATTTCAAATCGAGGGAATGGTCTCAGATTCCTTTCTCCTAATTCAGGGGTTTCCAACCCCTTTCTTTCTATTATCCCATTTCATTACCCTTGATCGATTGAGTTATCCCCCTTCACCAATAAATCCCTTATTTCATGGTTTTCCCTGCAATTCCTTTTTATGTCAGAGAATAAAGCCTGATTGAATGCAATCGATTACCATCCTGAGAAGGTTATAGAAAGAAAACAGGTTGAAGACCTCTGCACTACAGTGTATATTATACAAGATAAATCTCTGTTTGTAATTTCTCGATATTCTATTACTAGATATATAGAATGATGATTTATCGTTTTATTCAAGATGTGTACATAAAACAATATATATTTTATCATTTTAAACATCAAAACACAATGCTAACTGACCTTGACCACAATATACCAATTCTAACTGTCAATATATTTTTATTGAATTTGCATCAAACAGAATGATATACGGATATTTTTAGGGTTAAATTTGATGCTGATATAGTTGACAAAAATGAACCATTCAATATAAAAATGGTGTATTATGACGTTATAACGTAAGTTGATGTAAAACACATAAATATTTATTTTTTCAATGAACCACTCTAAACGATTGTTGTACACTAATATTATATGAATGTCGATATAGTTCATGTTATAAAGTTTAATATATTTTGTTCAATAAATCACTCTAAAGGATTGTTGTACAATGATATGAAAAGAATACGGATATAGTTGATGTAAAATATATCAATGTATATGTTTTTAAATGGACCACTCTAAATGTCACGTCAATAGGCTGACCAATAATGACAATAATAATGATATAGGTGTAACAAAATCATATACATATAATATTATGCAAATAATATAGTGGACATGAAATAAATAATATCAAATCTTAATCTGGAGATTGAATAAACCAGGAGGTTTATGAACAAAGAATGAAGACTTTGTAAAACTATGAAGTTGTTGTACAAACTATGCAGTTGTTGCACAAACTATGAAGTTGCCGTACAAACTATGAAGTTGCTTTACTAGCTATGAAGTTTGTTTGTGGTCAGAATCATACTTTATATTATGCAAGTAAATATCACCGTAAATTTACTGTAACAGAACGCTAAGCAGTTGATTGTGATGTGTCTCTGGTAAGGTTCATTAAGGTCCCACGTGGGATTGTCGGCTGATCACTCCGCAATGAATCTGTATCGGATGACGACTCCATTAAATGATCTTTAGGTTCCTCAGTGAGACTTATGTCAGTTATCAAATCCAATGCTTTTAATGCATCATCAACCGTTTTCATATAGGATGGATCTGTGGGAATATGTTGCATCACCTGACTGTTCGTGTCCATTTTTGGCGATAATTTGATCATGGTACTGTACATATGGGCATATTTTTGGCATAATTTTACGCCATCTCTATACGTGTCTAAATCACAACATTCTTCCAAATTATTGGATACTTGAACACTACACCCTAGACCTATTGGAACTTCAAATAAGACATTACGTTTATTAAGAACCGTGCTGGCAATTATTTTTTGCTCGGTTTTAAAAGATCTGACGTTGAGCATTCCTGTGAAAATGCAAGGAACCACTGGCGCTTTACCAAACAATAATCGAACTCGAACTGGGAGAGACAAATCACTGAGGATGTCTTTCATGGTGTAAACGGAGTTACAGTCCAATTTTCCACGTTCATACACGGCGTTAAATTTACCCTTGGTAGTAAGAGGAATAAGAATCTCTTTTTGGTCCGTGGTTGTTATGCAATTGAGATATTTCACTTCATAGGTCGTCCACTGGGAACTTTTCTTTTTAAACAGTCCAGTTTCAGCTTCCGTTTTCCACTTAGCTGTAAAAATGCTATCAGTCTTTAGGATCGACCCAGCTGGAATTTTTCGTTCCAGATATTGCTCTTCACCATTTTCGTTGGTTATTACTCGAATAGCTTTGATATTAGACCTTGTGAAAAATTTCCTTGGCATAGATTCAGCCAATTCGGCTATAGATTTATAACACGATGCTCTGGTAAAATCTGATGGTACCACTTCAAACCAGCCTGGAATAGAGGTATAATTATGATTATTAGTTTAATTTGTATTCCATTATTTTCATTATAGTAGACTTACATTTGACAAAGACTTTGACCAAAAACACCTATCGTGTCTTCAAGGATACCCAATTAACTTAAAATAATTACAGAAGAATTATTTTTTTGAATGTTTTAGGGTATCTGAGTTTATATGAGTTTAGACACATTCATTTTGTATCCTTAAAGCTGATTGAGGATCTAGGCCTTAATCGTTCGTGAAACTCGCTCTAATGTGTTTACCCATACTATCGTTTCGACTATTTATTTTTTCTCACCGAAATCTTTGGAGTGTCACCTCCTTATATCAACTACATTAGTAAGCAAAATGTAAATTTATCAAATTTGATCTACATTCGACTCTACTTAAAAGGTAGTATTTTGAATATTAACATATTTAAAGAGATTGGAAACTAAAGAGGTTTGCTAATCTTTTTGTGTATCGGCATATTGTACCATTCCAACTTTAAGTCAGACTTCTGTGGCTCTTGCAATTCCACTAAATGTAAGCATTTCATGGCGACACTATTACAAAAACTGCTATTGATATATAAGTATTTCACGAAATATTACGGCGAAGTGGAGTGCAGTAACCACAGACGTCTGATTGAAAATTAGAATGGTGCAAGTTGATGATATCAGTGTCCCTCAATGTAGAAAATCTCTATATAATCCCTTTAAGTTTTATTTTTGACACAGTTGTTAGTAAGTTACACTTGACTGTTGAATATATTATGAATTTGTAATATAAACCGATAGTTTTTTCTTTCTGAATGATGAATGATACGTCACATGTTGGGTATTCTTCAGAAAAATATTTCTTTTATAACATAGTGTATTTGAAGTAAATAAAGCGCATTCTATATCTCAACATTATTTTTCTAGTGGGCGTTTTAAAAGGGTAATATCTTTTAACATGACTGTTACACCTTCGTATATTTTATTGTATTGCCTACAAAAACAGTACAAAACAATTCGCCAGTTAACGTAATAGTTTTTGGGATGATTTTGGGTGGTGAATTTAGGGTGGTGTTTAAAAACATGCAATTTTTACCAATAAATGAAATACAACGAAATAGTTGAGGATTAGTCATATTCATTTTGTTAAGCGAAACTGAGTTGATAGACTCATGTGTATAGGATGTCTATTTTCAGCTTCCTTAAGGTCTGTTGGACGTGTTTATCATCAGAAAATGTTTACCATATGGTCCATTGGATACTTCAAACGTTGGCCCTTGCGAATCCCAAATCTATATAAGGGGTTATCAAGAGGACCGATTAATGAACACCAATAAAATTCACCCGATCCAGTTCGTTTTCTACGCCAGTAACATTGCTACCAGCGTCCTAGAATCTGTATAATATACAGAGTCCTTACTGCCAATATTATATTCCAATATCTGCTACATTGACATTCCGTATATTCCGATATAGTACATTTTCAATAAAATCTGAAAGTGATTTTTATAGAGGGTAACAGAATAAGTGATTATTTCAGTGATGCTAAGATGTGTTTTCCCAGCCTTAAATCATAGATATTTGTCGATATTCACTAAAAAGACCAGTATATTCTCTTTACAAAAACATGAGCTCTTTATTTTCATTGAGATAAGTCCACAAAAACCTTTTTTGTTATTATCAAACTTGAAGTTATACTTGTGGAATGATCCCATTTAATGTCGGATTTTAAAGTCATTACTACCAAAAATATACACCAAGCTCTCTCCGCTGGTATATGGTGATTACTGCATGATTCCACGTTTTATGAAAAACCAATTTCTTAGTACCACATGTACCAAAAATAGCATGATGTTTACCATTTCCTGAAAGACCAGAATGGCTTTAAAATCCAAAGAGACAAAAAACTCAGGCTCTTACCTTGGTAGTCTTCAGGAATGATCAGGGTCTGTCCAACTTCAAAGAAAGCTCCAGAATTATCTCTATAAATTGTTCTCACTGATGCTTGTTTCTGAGACCTTCTCGTGAAGAATAGAACAGGGGTTTCAGCGTAGATTTTTATTCCAGGAGTTACGTCCCCTTGTGTATCTTCAAATCTGACCACTGTCGGTAAATTCTTCTCATCTTCGAAGTCTCCTAGTTTATATTTTTCATCATCAAATTGAAACACATATTGTTCGGAATCATTAATCCCGTCATACAATGAACTATTGCTTTTAGCTTGTTCGTCTGTTTCGGACGCCATTTTGAATTTTCCTGAATGACTGAATGACGATGAACTATAAATCACTTGTAAACCTAAAAATCTATATCCATATAAGTCACCATGATCTTTATAGAAATAAAATAACGATTGTTAGATTATCTATAAATAGTAACACCTGAAACCGGTTTTCTGCAACACTCCTGTAAACAAACGACAACTCGTCTATTCAACAGCGTGACGACAAATACTACAGGCCTACTACATATAGCAGGCCTATTCATTAATTTTCTGTATGATTATTATTTGAAAACTGGTGGGTGCTCGACATACTTGTCTCCGCAATCGTAGTTTGTCAAAGAAGAATAAAGGATACAATTATCTAATATTGTTAGTATATAAAAAGGACATACTGCTTTAAAGCGATGCAGCCGAGAGTTGTTTCTGAGATTTAAACACGAATATATGCAGAGACATTCGCATTTCGAAGGTTTGATTCAATTTAAGAGTCGTCTACACATTGGTTTCATCCGTCAGCAGACGGCTGAGTCAAAACCAGTTATTCACATTAAAACATTAACGCCATTTCCGCAGTTACATCTTTTCCTCGAATGCAGACGAATCAGGCAAGAGATTTTCAATACGCAACAGGATTTGGATACTTTAAATGGAGCTTGTCGAAATTATTAGCTTTGAGATAAAATTTACATACGTATAACCCGAATTTAGCAAATAGCTTTCAAATTAGGTCATATATTATGCAAACATTAGCAATCAAAGCAAGTGACAAAGTTTGGAGTCTTGATTAATATACGAATAAATGTTAAAATATCTAATAAATCAAATATTAAAACCAGCAAATTACGGAAACACACTGAAATTTAGTTTTATTTTATACTGAATTGGTCAACTGGCGAGGTATCTTTAACGTCTTAAGAGCATTTCAGTCCTCCAAACTTGCACCAATGAAAGCGAGAAATCGGGTTGAAAGATTCAAAGGTAGGCTACCATTCTGTCATGTGCTGGAATCAATTCTTGGATCCATCGGCTAGCGAGGAAGCAAAGAACTCACCTGAGAATTACTCACCTCCACCTACAGGTAGAGAACCCCTAGAATTACTCACCCCCACCTACAGGTAGAGAGCCCCTAGAAAGCTTTGTGTAGAGAAGTGAAGGGTCAAGGCTCTAAAAAAAGGGAAACGTAACACTGTACTTAAGAAATTTTTTATTCATTTATTTTAATGTTTTTTTTTGTCTTTTAAAAGACAATGACATCCAGCTTTTCAGTAGTAGTCTGTAGTCCATTTGAAACTGTTACATTCAAGACGAAAGGTATGTTTCCGAAAGGCAATGAAGGCAGATTTGCCCCAAGCTTCACTGTGATTTCACCAGCTGAAATAAATATTGGGTATAAATAAGGTGTGACGCATTGGTTGAATAGATTATAAAATTTTGAGGCCCCAAGTATGGTGGCAATGGATATATTGATTAAAGATTTCCAACCTCGTAAAACTTACGCCGACTTACATTAATGCATTTTCACAATGCCAAGTTATTACGAACTTATATCTTATGTCTTATATTATACCTTGACTGGAGTAGCCACTTTTCTTATGTCACAGAAGTTTGTAAATGCAGCAATTGAATTGGATTGTACGCAAAGGAATACAGCCAATTTGAAACGATAAGCCCAAATGTTTTATGTGAAGGGCTCTGACTGGCTGTATTCTCTTGAACCCATTCAAATCGCTGCATTCCATGATACAAGAAAGATGGCTATAGCAGTCAAGGTTTAAGACGAAGTTCGTAATAGCTTTACATTGTGAAGATGAAATATTTGGCATAACGTTACGACTGGTTACGTTATCTTAAATACTTATAATTAATATCTACTTGTCATGCAAAAGTGCTTGAGATCTGGAGCCAAAATAACGATTAAGACCTTTTTTTCAGAGATAACTGAGATGAAATAATGCAAAGAAGCTTTGATTTGATTAGGGTTTAATCTAGATTGGCGGCGTCTCAAGGAGGTAACTTGACAAAAGTAACCTTACTTACTCGTTGGATTAATGTTAAATTGTGTAGTTGGTTGCAAGGAATACATAAGATTGCCAGACAGGCTTGGATCTGTAGCCTCCACTGTATATATAACAACACTTCCTTCTGCTGTGTATCGAGAAATGACCACAAACTCTGGTACGTTGCTAAATACGGGAGAACCTGTTGAATCTACCACATTGAGTGTTAATTGTTCACTGTCTGTGGCGACCCCGTCGTTGACATCTATTATAATTTGTATGGCATTTCCAGTCATTGTCTGAACTGATGACATCAGAACTATTTGACCGTCTGAAAAATAAAAGTGTGATTCCTAAGTAACGTCTGTATCAGATAAAGATTTGTCTCCTCGTATGCCCGCAGCCGGTCGGTGAAACTCTTGACAAGTCACTCTACAAAGTCGCCTTTAGAAATACTAACGAGGGCACAACAATAAGATAATATTGTCCAATGATAACAATCGACTGGACCAGGGAAAACCGGAAAATTCTTGATTACCTTCATTGCATACTGATACGAAGTCTGTTCTGACCAAAGCTACAGAGTATTTTGCTTGGCATAATGAGAGGTTTCTGAGCTCTGAATAACATAAACCACTTACTAGGACTGATGGTAAAGAATAATGCTCCTGTACCACTTAAACTGTAAGTCAGTGTATCACCATCACTATCTGTAGCAGCAACTGTAAATACTATTGTACCTACTGGTGTGGTATTTACAATAGTTGTAGTGTCTGGTAAATTAGTGATCACTGGTGCTACATTGTTTGAAACTGGATTTATAGTTATAGCTAAAGGTTTAGTAGTTGATAATGAACCATCTGATACTGTTATATCTACTGTTACATCTAATGTTCCAGTGATTGTTGTTAAAGGGAACTTCGGTGAGATTTCACCAGCTAGGGAAAGAAAACAACGGATTTCAGATGGGTTAGATCATTTAGAGGGCGTAATTTTCACTTCTCAAGAAGGAGGGTAAAAGGGGTTGGTCATAATGATCCAACCTGTCCATTTCCAATCCGAAACGTCAGGTTTTAATAAGCTGAAAGAGGGAAGCCGCGACCCCAGAATGACTTGTAGCAGGAAACTTCAACATGTAGACTTATACACATTGGTATTTAAATTAAAGAAACAGACCACTTACTATTAGGATTAATGGTCAAAAATGGTTCTCCTTGACCACTTAAACTGTAAGTCAGTGTATCACCATCATTATCTGTAGCAGCAACTGTAAATACTATTGTACCTACTGGTGTGGTATTTACAATAGTTGTAGTGTCTGGTAAATTGGTGATCACTGGTGCTACATTGTTTGAAACTGGATTTATAGTTATAGCTAAAGGTTTAGTAGTTGATAATAAACCATCTGATACTGTTATCTCAACTGTTACATCTAATGTTCCAGTGATTGTTGTTAAAGGGAACTTCGGTAAGATTTCACCAGCTAGGGAAAGAAAACAATGGATTTCAGATGGATTAGATCATTTAGAGGGGTTAATTTTCACTTCTAAAGAAGGAGGGTGAAGGGGGTTGGTCATGACCCAATTGTCCGCCCCTAAATACGCAACTGAAAGGGTCCACTGATGAAAATATGACCCTGTGGCCCAAACGTGCATTTTCTGGCGTTAATATTGCACTTATTAACTTGCATTTGTAAGACAGCCTAAATCATTTCAAAATACACCAAAATCCATTAACAAGCATCTACTGGAAAATAAATTTTTACTTTCTTTGACTTGATAAAAGTAACTAAGCAACTATCTCCCCCCCCCCTCCTTCTACAAAAATATGGGTGCTCAAAGCGACTCAGAACTGTGATTGTCTCTATGGCAGGTTTCTGTGATCAGGATAATCCAACCTGTCCATTTTCAATCCGAAACGTCAGGTTTTAATAAGCTGAAAGAGGGAAGCCGCGACCCCAGAATGACTTGTAGCAGGAAACTTCAACATGTAGACTTATACACATTGGTATTTAAATTAAAGAAACAGAGACCACTTACTATTAGGATTAATGGTAAAAAATGGTTCTCCTTGACCACTTAAACTGTAAGTCAGTGTATCACCATCATTATCTGTAGCAGCAACTGTAAATACTATTGTACCTACTGGTGTGGTATTTACAATAGTTGTAGTGTCTGGTAAATTAGTGATCACTGGTGCTACATTGTTTGAAACTGGATATATAGTTATAGCTAAAGGTTTAGTAGTTGATAATGAACCATCTGATACTGTTATATCTACTGTTACATCTAATGTTCCAGTGATTGTTGTTAAAGAGAACTTCGGTGAGATTTCACCAGCTAGGGAAAGAAAACAATGGATTTCAGATGGATTAGATCATTTAGAGGGGTTAATTTTCACTTCTAAAGAAGAAGGGTGAAGGGGGTTGGTCATGACCCAATTGTCCACCCCTAAATACGCAACTGAAAGGGTCCACTGATGAAAATATGTCCCTGTTTCCCAAACGTGCATTTTCTGGCGTTGATATTGCACTTATTAACTTGCTTTTGTAAGACAGCCTAAATCAGTTCAAAATACACCAAAATCCATTAGCAAGCATCTACTGGCTTGACTTGATAAAAGTAACTAAGCAACTACCCCCCCCCCCCCCTTTAACATGTAAACTTATACACTTTGGTATTTGAATTAAAGAATCAGAGACCACTTACTATTAGAATTAATAGTAAAAAATGGTACTCCTTGACCACTTAAACTGTAAGTCAGTGTATCACCATCATTATCTGTAGCAGCAACTGTAAATACTATTGTACCTACTGGTGTGGTATTTACAATAGTTGTAGTGTCGGGTAAATTAGTGATCACTGGTGCAACATTTATGCCTGAACCACCAATAGTTAAGCTCAATGTTTCTGTGTCTGTTAGGGAACCATCGCTAACGGTTACATCCAGAGATAAAACTACATTGGCTGAGAATATTCCAAGATCTTGAGTAGTTGATATTTCTCCAGCTGCAATGTAAATGTTTCATGTAGAATATTTTCGAGACAACCATTAAAATGAAGTTTTATTAA